GCACTATTCACAATAGCAAAGACTTGGAACCAACCCAAATGTTCTTCAATGCAGACTGGATTAAGAAAATGTGGCACATATATACCATGGACTACTATGCAGCCATAAAAAAGGATGAGTTCATGTCCTTTGTAGGGACATGGATGCAGCTGGGAACCATCATTCTCAGCCAACTATCACAAGAACAGAAAACCAAACACCGCATGTTCTCACTCATAGGTGGGAATTGAACCATGAGACCACTTGTACACAGGAAGGGGAACATCACACACTGGGGCCTGTCATGGGGTGGGGGAGGAGGGAGGGATAGCATTAGGAGATATACCTAATGTAAATGATGAGTTAATGGGTGCAGCACACCAACATGGCACACGTATACATATGAACACACCTGCACGTTGTGCACATTTACCCTAGAACTTAAAGCATAATAAAAAATAATTTAAAAAAAAAAAAAGCATGATATGGCTAGGCATGGTGGCTCACACCTGTAATCCCGTAACTTTGGGAGGCCAAGGTGAGAAGACTGCTTGAGGCCAGGAGTTTGAGACCAGCCTGGGTAACAGCAAGACCCCATCTCTACAAAAAATAAAAAATATTAGCCAGGCATGGTGGTATATGCCTATAGTCCTAGTTACTAGGAAGGCTGAGGCAAAAGAATCGCTTGAGCCCAGGATTTTGAGGCTGCAATAAGCTAAGATCACTGCATTCCAGCCTTGACCACAGAGTGAGACCTTGTCTCCAAAAATAATAAAAATGAGTAAAGGCCTGAAGACAGTAACCATATGATATATGAATGAATACTGTAGAGCGAATGAACAGGAGGTACAAAGGCTCTCAGTTCAAGGAACAGTCAGGAGCCCTTGTGGCTGAAGTAGAGTGAGCATGGAGGAAGAAGAGGTGACCAGAGAGGTAGTGGATGTGGGGGAAGGGGAGACCAAGGAGGCTTCTAGGCCATTGTGATAAGTGGCTTTCCCCTCAAGTGAGACAGGAAGTCACTGGAAGACTTCTGAGATAGGTGACAGGTAATTATTAACTATAAAAGCTGGAAGGAGCATCTTAAGGTCTTGTTTTTTTGTTTGTTTGTTTTGGTTTTTTTTTTTTTTTTTGAGATGGTGTCTTACTCTGTCACCCAGGCTGGAGTGTAATGGTATGATCTCGGCTCACTGCAACCTCTACCCCCTGGAATCAAGCAATTCTCCTGCCTCAGCCTCCCAAGTAGCTGGGATTACAGGTGCGCACCACATAATGCCTGGCTAATTTTTTTGTATTTTTAGTACAGATGGGGTTTTGCCATGTTGGCCAGGCTAGTCTTGAACTGCAGACCTCAAGTGATCTGCCTGCCTTGGCCTCCCAAAGTGCTGGGATTACAGGCGTGAGCCACTGCACCTGGTCCATCTTAAGGTTTTCTAGATACATGTAGATGTGTTTATTTTTGTACGAACTCTATGGGAAGGGATTCTATAATTTCCCAGATTCTATTATGTTCATAACTATTTCAAAGGTTTAACAGTTGCAACTTAAACATTTCAAATGACAATACAAATTCCTCCCTCAAACAGAAATGGAAATGTCCCTTCAAAAGACTGATAATGGTGAAACACTTCTCACCATTCTACAGGTAAAAAGTATAGTCTAGCCAGCCAATGACACCGAAGATTTGGGGAAGCAATGTTTTTGATCCCTGGCCCCAGCCCATTCTTCCATCCAGCTAATCCTTTAGGGCCCTACAGTGCCTTCCCTAGAGCTCTGGGCCTTCAGTGATGCCTCCTCTCTGATCTCTTCAAAGATAGAAATTTCTGTCATGCTCACATGCTGGCTTCCTATGAAGGTTCGTATGAATTACCATCTGTTCTAACAAACTACTGTTGAATTGTATTTTACATAAAAGTTAAATCTAATTTTATTTCTTCTGAGGAAGCTGAACTAACTTTTGACCAGGAAGGGGAGAGACAGAGTGACTATATCACTCATTATATAATTAAGGGTGAAGGGTAAGAGTAAAAACAATCAGAACTCTTCCAGAAGCATTTAGAACCAGTAATGAAGGGACAGCAAAATAAAAGAGTTGCTGACTTACACCGGGTACCACCGTGGGATGCTCTCGTGCCTCTGCGTCTGGTACATCAAATGCCCGGAGCACTTCAGGGCTCTTGTTGCCAGTCTGAAATCTCAAGTCAACATCTCTCTCTCTCAAAATCTCTCTTCTACCCTCATATGTTTTAGCATAAGGGCCTTGCTCAATGGGGCCAGTGTGGCCCCTATAATAGAACTCTGCATCACCTGCCCCACCATCAGGTCTGTAATCAATTTCCTCCTGCCGTCTTCTATCCCGTGGCCGAAGTGCCTGGGGAGGTTCTCTCTCAGGACCGCCTACATGTCTCAGCACATGAACTGATTTGCCAGCACCATAGCAGAAACTCTGTAAGGAAAAGAAATACATTTTCCTGAGGACTTAATGGCTAATCTACAAAAAAGTTATGAGGCATTTTATTCAGAGTGCTAACAAAATCATGCAATTTAACTTACTTGTGGCATTTATAGACATAAACATGTTAATTTGACTTTTTTTCATTAGAGACCTCTTCTTTAGATTAATACAAGGCCAAAGTGGCCAATAAAGCTTAATAAATCACTGAATATTCAGTAGATATTTTAATGAGCTAGACACATTTTGATTGAACTATAACAATGGCAGGCTGAAGCCTAGGTATTTAAATTAGCAGGTTCTAGTCTGATAATTATTCATGTTTCTAGATTCATGCCCATCATACAAGGTAAATGCTGAAAATATTTAAAGTTGTATATCATTATGTAAACAATCTCCTGTACCTTTACTTTTTACAAACTAGCTTAAGTTACAGCTAAAATTCAACAGGTTTTGATTCACATTCCATGGGAAAAAGTAGGCAGCAGTTCCTGACACTGTGGCTCAGGGACCCCTGCGGGGAAACCTGAGACTTTCAGGGGATCTATGAGATCAAAACTTTTCATAATACAGACATTATTATTTGTCTTTTTCACTGTCCCCTCCTGAGTGTGCAATGGAACATTCCAGATGCTAGAGTGACAGCCTCACTCGGACTCAGGAGATGCCTGCCTGCGTGTACAGTACTCGTATGTTTTAAATTTGTTTTAACTCCTAATATGTAAATATCAATAAATATAATCACCTTAAGTAAGAGCTGTTTGTGGGCTTCAATTTTTAAGACTGCAAAGAGGTCCTGAGAACAGAAACTTTGAAAATTTCTATACTAGTTTTTCAAACACTACTATTTGAAGACAGAAGCAGCCAAAGTCAAAGAGCATAATTTTCCTTAGGGAGCACATGAAACAAAAACAGATGGTGAAGACTCTGCTGATAATTTCAGTTTCAGAGACTACACTACGACTACAGAACTAATGTTACCTAACAAAAAAAAAAATACCCGCCAACCACATAATCCTGTAATCACAAGCCAAAAAACAAAACCAAAAAAGAAACGATTTCAAAGTGAATAGAGATAGTGAATCTTGTATCCTTAGGGCAGAGAATTTCCCTTGGCACATCTAAGTTTTTGGTTTTATGCAACAACCGCTTTACTTGGGTAATAGCTGAAAAATCGATAAAAAAAAAAAACACTGAACAGACCATGGATGAATGACGAGTAATATTTCTTCTTAATGTCTGCTCCTGGATCCCCAAACTCTTTCTCAGCATACCCACGTTCTTCCACATCCCTTTCTGGTTCTGTGTCAAACTCAATGCTCTTCCCTTCTCACTGCTGCAAAAACTCAGACTACAAATAAGAAGGCCCCCTTTCTCAAGGAGACAGTAATCAACTTCCTATTTCCTGTGTATTAATTCACCAAGGTTAAAGGACAAATTTAAAAAGAGGGTATTATTCTGAATCACTGCTACATATGCAATCAAACTAGAGAACTACTTTCTTGATTAGAAAAATATACAAGTGGACGCCCACTGCCATGGCGACTCTGCTGCGCCCTGTCCTGCGCCGGCTCCGCGGGCTCCGCGGGCTTCCCGGCCTCCTGCGGATTGCGGCAGAAATGCCTCTCCGGGCCAGGAGCGACAGCGCCGGCGCCGGCCCGCTGTACTCGCACCACATCCCCACCTCCCCGCTGCAGAAAGCGCTGCTGGCCGCCGGCTCCGCGGCAATGGCGCTCTATGACCCCTACTGCCACGACATGGTCGCAGTTCTAGGGGAGACCACAGGACACCGCACCCTGAAGGTCCTCAGGGACCAGATGAGGAGGGATCCAAAGGGTGCCCAGATCCTGCAGGAGCGTCCCCGGATTTCGACGTCCACCCTCAGAGCCTGCCAGAAGGCTCCCTGGGTCGCGAGTATCTCCGTTTCCTGGATGTGAATAGGGTCTCCCCAGACACCCGAGCACCCACCCGCTTCGTGGATGAGGAGGAGCTAGCGTATGTGATTCAGCGATACCGGGAGGTGCACGACATGCTTCACACCCTGCTGGGGATGCCCACCAACATCCTGGGGGAGATGGTGGTGAAACGGTTTGAGGCTGTCCAGACTGGCCTGCCCATGTGCATCCTGGGTGCTCTCTTTGGACCGATCCAACTCAGTGCTCAGAGCCTGCAAGTGCTGGTCTCGGAGTTGATCCCATGGGCCGTTCAGAACGGGCACATAGCCCCATGTGTCTTCAACCTGTACTATGAGCGGCACTGGGAGCAGTCCCTGAGGGCTCTACGGGAGGAGCTGGGCATTACGGCACCACCCGTGCATATCCAGGGCTTGGCCTGAGTTCCTGAGCCAGCGGGGCCTGGCCTACCTCCCCCATCTACTGCTTCCCTTGGGGGCAGAGGGCTCCCTTGACTACCTTTGTTCCTCTTCTTTGAACACTGACCCTTGGACAACATTTATCATAATTTGTTATAGCCACTGCTGAGTGGCCTTGAGGACGAACCCCACAGGGAGCAAGCAGTACAGAGGCACTCCCAGGGGGACCAGCCGCTGTCCAAGGAGAACCATGCGTGAACAGTATCAGTCGTCTGGGCTCATGCTGGGATGTTGCAGCACTCCTGTTGCGACTCCTTCCAACCAGCCAGGTTTGCTGGGGGCCAGGCTGGGTGTCCTCACAGGAGTGAGTGCTACACCCAATTCCAAAAGCCCGAGAAGAGAGAAGCAGAGGGGGAGGCGAGTGTGTGAATAAAGGCTCCCATCAGGTCAAAAAAAAAAGAAAAATATACAAGTAAGTATAATATATCTGTATCATTTAGAGGGGGGGAGGGGAGGAAAAAAAATCTGTATCACTTAAAAATCACCTTCTCATTAAGCATGACTTAGCCTGATTTACAATATCAGAGAAGCGCAGTAAGTTCAGCATTGCTTTTCTGTAAATCTTGCTAAATACTGACAGTGCTAATACTAACCAGTATTAATATATTAACACTAAAATGTAATATAAATCTTGCTAAATACTGACAGTGCTAATACTAACTAGTATTAATATATTAACACTAAGATTTAATATAAATCTTGCTAAATACTGACAGTGCTTATATATATATATACACACACACACACACACACACACACACACATATATATACATATACACACACATTGTTTTTTTTTTTTTTTTTTTTGAGACAGAGTCTCGCACTGTCACCCAGGCTGGAATGCAGTGGTGCGATCTCCACTCACTGCAAGCTCCATCTTCCGGGTTCACGCCATTCTCCTGCTTTAGGTTCCCAAGTAGCTGGGACTACAGACGCCCCCCACCACGCCCGACTAATTTTTTGTATTTTTTTAGTAGAGACGGGGTTTCACCGTGTTAGCCAGGATGGTCTCGATATCCTAACCTTGTGATCCGCCTGCCTCGGCCTCCCAAAGTGCTGATATTACAGGCGTGAGTCACTGTGCCCGGCCTGACAGTGCTAATACATTAATACTAACCAGGATGGCTAATGCCATAATTATCAGCACTGGAAGATGAAGCAGCGCTGGAATTTCCTTCATGAGTGCTTTAATGAATTCCCCAGTTCCTTTTCCAATGTGCTTCAATGGCTCCGTTACAAATGTGGTGAACGTAACTGCAAGTGCCTAAAACAAGAGAGAAAAGCAACTTAATTTTCTCCTCACAGGGCTAAGGTACAGAATGAATCAAAATTCATTGTGCACTGAGGCTGAAAGTATGTTACATAAATTAAAATGCTGTTGTGCCATTTTTAATGTGAAAAATCACTGTGCAATAGTATTTTTTGTTGGACAAAGGCTTATTTGCAAAATGACTCAAACACTAAATTTCTTTAAAATACAAGGGATTTCTGACTTACTTTAAGGAATTTTTACAAAATATATGCGATACCTTTGTTGGTGGGACCAACCAAATAGGGTTGACTAGTAAGAGCTCATAGTATTTTTGGCATGGGTCATCCTTATAGGTCCATGAACTTCTAAACCATTCTGTTTAGAGAAACAGACAAAACACTGATCATTTCTTTTAATGTTGCATTTCATTCCCAAACAAGACACTACTTTGGTTTTGACCCTCTGACCACCCACCAATCAGTTTTAAATTATCTTGTTTTAAGTAGACTCCCTGTAATGCTGATTTTTTAATTTTTCATCTTATGTCCAAAATCATGTTTTAAAAATCCATTCAAATTATACATGTTTTATGCAGATAAAAAATTGTATTTTATAAAAATGTCTAAAAGGTAAACACTTTAAAAGCAATGCTTCACAAACACAAATGAGTACAGGTAAAATGGGAAGTCAAAATAAGACTGGTGGATTGTATCAAAGTCAATATCCTGACTCTGATATTGTACTATTAAAGCTGTGCAAGATGTTACCATTGGAGGAAAATGGGGAAAGGGTACACCGGCCCTCTCTGTAGTATTTCTTACTATGTGAATCCACAATTACCTCAGTAAATTATTTATTTAAAAAGTCAGTTCTGGCTGGGCGCGGTGGCTCAAGCCTGTAATCCCAACACTTTGGGAGGCCGAGACGGGCAGATCACGAGGTCAGGAGATCAAGACCATCCTGGCTAACATGGTGAAACTCTGTCTCTACTTAAAAATACAAAAAACTAGCCGGGCGAGGTGGCGGGCGCCTGTGATCCCAGCTACTCGGGAGGCTGAGGCAGGAGAATGGCGTGAACCCGGGAGGCGGAGCTTGCAGTGAGCTAAGATCCGGCCACTGCACTCCAGCCTGGGTGACAGAGCCAGACTCCGTCTCAACAAAAAAAAAAAAAAAAAAAAAAAGTCAGTTCTTTATGGAGTTTACAAAATAAAGTAGAATATTAGTTCTAATTTTTCCAAATCAGGCTTATATACATTGGCAAACTAGCCCGAGCTAGAGGACACATTTCACTGTCCACTGAAGCCATGAATTGGTTTAGTTCCCACAACTTTTTAAGAAACATTTATTTTGGAACCCATCTGCAGAATTCTGTATCAGTCATGGACTTGCATTTATAAAATGCCTTAGAACACTATTAAACCATCCCCATTGCTAGATATACGCAACCAAAGGTAGTGAACATTCATGAGAATGTTTATAAAATGTGAAAGAATTAAAAAACTAATCTTTCCCAGAGTTAAAAAAAAAAGTAAAGCTATAACATAAAATTTCACAAGTCAATATAAGGCCATTAAATTTAAGATGGATATTAATTCATATATACACTCATTCACTTGATTCACTTGTTTAATAAACTCCTATTGAGAATATGCCAGACACTGTGCAAAGGACGAGATGAACAAAAGCACGCATAGGATCCTTCACACAGTCTTATGAAGGAAGACAGATAATATCAGAGCCAACATATATACAACTTCTATTTCTTCCCTGTGACTTTAGATGAGCATACAAAGTCACTGGTTTTAAACTTCAAATGCTTCTTGCATGTTCTTCTGATATTAAAGATTCAGTCATGGAAAGCCTCCTCTGTTATTTTATCATTCTCTTTGTTCTATGTTCTCTCATTCTCAGAATTTCTACCAAAATAAGGACAAGTGCACAAACACCTTACCCCAGATACTTCCAGTCCAGTCCATCTTCTCGGCACACACATTGTTTAATGGCTCCATCTTGGCGACTTCAGCCTGATGCTGTGCAAAAGCTAGCTGACCAAAACCAAAAGGGAACCAGGAGAGGCCGTTACCATGAAGGTTAGGCCTACACATCCAAAAGACCTTCATTCAAAGAGTATCTTTACCATGCATCCAAACCAGACTGTTATAAAAGTTTTAATTTAAAAAATTCATATTAATACTATTTTTTCTCTTTTTTTCCTGAGACGGAGTCTCGCTCTGTGGCCCAGGCTGGTGTGCAGTGGCACAATCTCTACTCACTGCAACCACTACCTCCCAGGTTCAAGCAATTCTCCTGCCTCAGCTTCCCGAGTAGCTGGGATTAAAGGTGCCCGCCACCATGCCCAGCTAATTTTTGTGTTTTTAGTACAGACGGGGTTTCATCATGTTAGCCAGGCTGGTCTCAAACTCCTGACCTCAAGTGATCCGCCCACCTCAGCCTCCCAAAGTGATTATAGGAAATTATATTATATTATAGGAGGGATTATAGGAAAACATATTATTTGTAAAGAGTAGCTATTTCCAGTTCATGGAAAAGTACAGCCTTAATGCAACAAGTAAGCATAAAGTACTAACTACAATTGCCTTCTCTGTAAGTAATTATAATGAAAAAGGAAAACTTTACTAAAAATAATGTTTTTAAAAATTAGTTCAGCCGGGCATGATGGCAAGGGCCTGGAGTCCCAGATACTCAGGAGGCTGAAGTAGGAGAATCGCTTGAACCCAGGAGGTAGAAGTTGCACTGAGCCGAGATTTCGCTACTGCACTCCAGCCTGGGGGACAGAGTGAGACGGTCTCAAAAACAACAACAACAACTATTTCTAGCCATACAAATTAAATGACTACTTCTCATTTTCTTTTACAGTTGATGATATCCTATTTTGCACTGGATAATTTCCAGCACAATGACCAATATATAATCATTGAGGTGACAATACTCAACAAACTTTCCTTCCACATAGAATCTGTGTTTAATTTGTAAATAATTAGTTCTAGATACTATAATACTTAGGGCAAAAGGTTAAGGAAATGTCATAATGCTTTAACCAGATGAAGTCATTGAAGTCACTGGCTACTTGACTTACTCTGCCAGACAGATCTAAAATTTTCTTTCAATGATTATGCTATGTTGATGGGAACAGTAGTGGTCCTTTCAAATTTCTATATACAGTATGATCCCAACTTTGAAAGATAATTAAAATCTAGAAAAAACTAGAAAGAAATACCTCAAACTACTGACAGATTTTCTCTAGGTGATAAAATTATAGGTGATTTTTAAAATTAATTTCTTTTTATCTGTCTTTTCTACATTCTCTGCCATGAACATAACACTTACTCAAAAAATAAGCTAATTTTTAAAAGATAGTATTCTGGTATCATTTCTAGCAAAGAATAGAATGACATACCCTCAATTACCCACATGAGAATTTTTAAATGTATCCACCTAGCTTTATTCTTTTTTTTCCTTCCTTTTTTCGAGAAGGACCTCACTCTGTGGCCGAGGCTGGAGTGCAGGGGCACGATCTTGGCTCACTGCAACCTCCCAGGTTCAAGCAATTCTCCTGCCTCAGCCTGCTGAGTAGCTGGGACTACAGGCACACGCCATCAGGCCCGGCTAATTTTTGTATTTTTAGTAAGGATGGGGTTTCACCATGTTGGCCAGGCTAGTCTTGAACTCCTGACCAAGTGATCTGCCCACCTCAGCCTCCCAAAGTGCTGGGATTACAGGCATTAGCCACCATGCCCAACCCACCTAGCTTTATTCTGACTTACATGCCCAAATGTTAACAGTAACTGGGTTATGAAAATTAGGACTGAACTTTTTTACCCACTAACTGGTCAAGGAATCAAAAAACAGTCAGCTAAGAATTTTCCATTTAATTCCTCCCCAGCGTGGACCACCTCTAGTCACTGCCTCCAACCTACATCCAAGGCAAGATTGCTTTCAACAGATTAGTCTTCTTTCATTGTGAATAAATGTGTTAAAATTGTAAAACCCTTCATCCATGTAATACCTTATATAAATACATCCAATTCCATCCCAGACTGAACAGAAAGCTGATGATTAAAACACGTCTCAACTGAGTGTACCAGCGTACATATGTCCACAGCTCGGTAGCCACTAAAACCACGATGCAGAGCAGACAAAGAAGTACCTTAAAACAGAGAGAAGCAGAAATCAGCCACCAAAAACACTCAGGGCAGCTAAAAAGAACTGGACTCAAATGCACAAAATCATTTCTACAATTTTGCGGCTTGTTCATCAATAAGGCATGAGTGACTTAGTACAGGTTCTTAACATAATTATGGTAGAGTTTGGCAAGTATTTTAAAAGGAAATTTAATGACGTTGCCCTTGCCCTCATCCCATCTTACCATTAACACATTATATGGATCCACTCCAAAGGAATCTTCAAATCGCCACTTCCATGTTTCAAAATCATGCAACTTAAAATTAATTAAAATATCACTTAGTGCATCATCCAAGGCACCTGGTTTCCAGTCTTCTCCACTGAGAAACTTCTGTATTTCTAACAACGTTTCTCTTTTAAGGATAATCTCGGCATCATAATGCACATCGCCTTTGTTTTCATCAGGCTAAATTAAATTTACCAAAAAACAAACAATAGAAAGAGAATTTTATTACTACTTGGTGAACCATTTTAAGACAAAAGCCAATTTGGAACTAAATATTAGTTTGCAGTATTTCATATGTATAATAGCCTGGGCGAGGTGGCTCACACCTATAATCCTAGTGCTTTGACAGGCCAAGGTGGGAGGACAGCTTGAAGCCAGGACTTCAAGACCAGCCTGGGCAACAAAGCAAGACCCCATCTCTACAAAAAATTCTAACAATTAGCTGTGTGCAGTGGTGTGCACCTGGCTCCCGCCTACTAGGGAGGCTGAGGTAGAAGAATTGTCTGTGCCCCGGATTCAAGGCTACAGTAAGCTATGAGCACACCACTGCACTCCAGCCTGGGAGACAGAGTAAGACCCTGTCTCTTAAAAACAATAATAATAATATCCACCTGTCTTCACAGGCTAACATGAAAACCAAAGATAATACACGTGAAAAACATTTAAAAATTCTAGAACTCTGTGCAAAAAAAAGATACTGTAAATTTCACTAAAATACAGTTGATTCTTGCTATTCACAGTAGTTATTGTCTATAAAGTCACCTCAAACACCGATTAGCAAGTACTGAACCATTACTCCTATAATAAATATACAGTTTGGTTCATGCAAACCTCTGTCATAACATTTTTATCAATTGATCAATACATAACCTTGTTTTATGTGTGTTTCTGTACATTCCTGTTTAAGGACACCTTATTTAATATACATATAGTTCATTCATTAACATTGAATACATGGACAACTGTCGTATACCTTACGCTTGACTCTAATACACACCTCTCTAATACACACCTTTTCTCTGTAAGTACATCATGGCCTTCTTGCACTTAGAAACACTAGACCTCAGTTCAGCACTACATCAGAGGGCTGTTTTAAACAACGAAATCATGCTGTTTAATGATTGGTCTCAAAATAAATAAAAATAAAAATAATCACCACTCTCCCCTCAAAAAAGCATGAAAAAATATACCAATAAATAGATCCCCCCAAAAAAAACACTTGTTTGCAGTATGAGAGCTGAAACAAGACAACAGTTTTGGTTGCCTTGTTCCATCTCAGCTGGGAATGCATGCAACAGGCAACCCAAATTTTTTGCCACTTTTCACAGTGTCCCAGAGTAACCACAAAACACCTTGATTACTGACTTTGGGGTTACACAGACTTAATGAGGTCAATTCATAAATACAGAACCTGTGAAGAATGAGGATCAACTGTGCATTTTTATTTTATGATTCACTGCATGACTTTTCATTTGCTGACAGTTTTCAGATAGCCTAAAATCTGTATTAGTACAAACAAGAAAAATAAGGATTTCAAAGAGCAACAAAATAATGGGCTTCCATAAAATATATATTTATAACTACCTTTGTAAGTGTGAGTTCAGCTTAGCAAAATCACTGTAAACAAATTTTGCATTAATTAGCAAGTTGATACAAATAAAATTCCTTTTTCTTTTACAAACAGTAAATACACGGCGGGGCATGGTGGCTCATGCCTGTAATCCCAGCATTTTCGGAGGCCAAGGCAGGCAGATCACTTGAGGTCAGGAGTTTGAGACCAGCCTGGCCAACATGGTGAAATACTGTCTCTAGTACAAATACAAAAATATTAGCCAGACGTGGTGGCATGCACCTGTAATCCCAGCTACTCGGGAGGCTGAGGCAGGAAAATAGCTTGAACCCAGGAGGCAGAGGTTGCAGTAAGCCGAGAGCCTGGGTGACAGAGTGAGACCCCATCTCAAAAAATACATATATAAAAAAGTAAATATGAAAAGAAAAGAAAAAACAAATGTCACATATTATCACAAATCATCAGTAAGCATTTTTAAAAGCCATCATTAATATTAACATGTTTTCAAAATCAGAAACTAGGCCAGGCGCAGTGGCTCATGCCTGTAATCCCAGCACTTTGGAAGGCCGAGGCAGGCAGATCACGAGGTCAGGAGATGGAGACCATCCTGGCTAACATGGTGAAACCCCCTCTCTACTAAAAAAAATACAAAAAATTAGCCAGGCATGGTGGCGGGCGCCTGTAATCCTAGCTACTTGGGAGGCTGAGGCAGGAGAATGGCATGAACCCAGGAGGTGGAGCTTGCAGTGAGCCAAGATTGTGCCACTGCACTCCAGCCTGGGCAACAGAGCAAGACTCCATCTCAAAAAAAAAAAAAAAAAAAAATCAGAAACTAAGTATTTTCAAGCATTTCCATCTTAGGTATTTTTGTTTCCATCTGTTTCCTTATCCAGGTTCTGTTCCACCCTGTACACAGCTGTAAGACTCAAATTATAGAGTGTACATTTGAGAACACATCTGCTTCTACAATTCCAGAATAAGGCAGCATTGTTATTCATCTAACACTCCCTTTTCTTTTGGTCACTTCTTACTGTACCAGGAAGATGGAGTATATGGCAAGTTTTGCCAGCCTACACTGTGCTGATGCAAGGGCCTTTCATTTTCGGGGCTCTGCCTGTGACCACTTCTGGTAGGTGGGGCTAACGGCCAGATCAAGACCAAAGGCTGGTCTCTGACTCTCTAAATCAATTCTGGTGGCATACACAATAGGGAAAAAAAGTCTATGAGCTTTTAAATGAGCTTTCTAAATGTTATAAGTTATTAAACTACACGTTTTCTTGATGTTTTCACTTTGGTAAGTGAATTAAAACTAAATTAATGCATTAAGTCTGGGAAGTTTTCACTTCCCAAAGTGAAAACAGTGACTTCTTAAAAATAGAAATTTTGGCTGGGTGCAGTGGCTCACATCTGTAATCCCAGCACTCTGGGAGGTCAAGGCAAGCGGATCACCTGAGGTCAGGAGTTCAAGACCAGCCTGGCCAACATGGCAAAACCCCATCTCTACTAAAAATACAAAAATTAGCCAGGCATGGTGGCAGGTGCCTGTAATCCAGCTAGTCAGGAGGCTGAGTCAGGGAGAATTGTTTGAACCTGGGAGGCAGAGGTTGCAGTGAGCCAAGATTACACCACAGCACTCCAACCTGGACAACAGAGCAAGACTCTGTCTCAAAAAAAAAAGGAAATTTTAACAACAATTATGACCAATATGTCTATAAAGCAGCACTCACCACAGTAAGCAACAAGGAGAAAAACTACATAAAATACATTTTTCTTTTTCTCAGCATATACTGAGAGAAAACCAGGAGTAGGGTCAGGACAGAATTATCACCCCACCTCCTCACCTCTATTAACTGGTGGAGCAGAGCACAGAGCTGAGTAAGTAAATCCATACAAACTAAAGGAGAAAGAGCGGTCTGCACTGCTCATCTTCCACCAGACCACTGCAAAGCAATACAGTAGTGCCTTCAATCCTGTAAGAATAGCTTCTGGTTAAAGAGTCAGTCAGGTGGGCTCTGTTAAAAAGCATCATGATGCTTTCACTTCTTTATATTATTTGAAATTAATGAATAAAAATATCCACTACTTTGATTAGTATCACACCATCAGATACTCACAAGTCCAAGCTTTCCAGCTTCAATTAAAATCTTATTTAAGTATCTCCTAAAAACAGGATTGCTTTGACTTTCATAGTCTTCCCTCTTTTTCTTTTCGCACTCATCAATCTGTAACCATAAAATCATTCAACATTAGTTAGAGTCAAAGTATAATGTAAGGGTTAAGTTTCTAGCCTAGTGCTGCCATTGGAATCAAGGTAAGGAGCTAGTTGTTTTGATCAAGCTCGCATTTATCAGCTATAATACATTACAGGGCAGAGCTGGCCTGCCTCCCCATGTTCTCTTTGCAAAGGGCAAGTAGGCAACAAAAAAGGAGCCCAGATCCAGTACTTAGCTCTAACCTGGCAGTTTTTCTGCTGGCTTTCAACAACTTTAAAGCTAAAGATCATGAGTCCAGGAGGCAGAGATCCACAAGCAGAGCATCTGGACCAATCTGCCTCTTTCTAATTCCAAAGCAACAATTTAACAAGAGAAAGGAGGAAGGAAGGGCAGGAGGGAAGAGCAGAATACACAGAGACAAAGGGACAGAGAAACAGAGACAAGATGAAGCCAGAAGGTGAAATGAAAGACACAACAGAATATTTCTTCACTGTGCATATGACTTTTGGCCTTTCATTAATGTTTCATCAGCAATTAATCATCCCATGCTGTATGGAATGCTCAGGAAGGCAGGAACGGCAGCTTCTCCAGGGTACCATCCACATGGTAAACCTTCAGTGCACAATTCTACACCGGAGCAGACTTCCTACGAACTTAGCTCTGCCACCACCAACCCAGGAGGCAAGTCGCTGAGGGTAGTGGATATTTTTCAAACATTAAAATAACTTTGTGATCATCAACTTGTATTTTTTAACCGAGTGTGGACCACGAGTTCAGCACTGAAATGCACGTCAGTGGATAAACACGACAATAACTGAGCAGCACACCGACTTAAAACAAGAAGCACACAGAGCAGAGGAGGACACAGAGGACACAGCAGTTTCCTTTGCTCTCAGGCAAGGTTTGTAAAACCAGTTTATTTTCTAAACCTTAAAGAAACAACTTAGGAAAAAAAAAAAGAAAGGATTCGAGACTCCATTTTACCAATCATGTTTCTTACAACGTTTAAACCAGTCACAAACAATGGAATAAAAAAATTCTGTAAAAAGGTATTTCTGCATTTTTGCTGTGCAACCAAACTTTTGTATAGCTCACTATACAGTAATAATACACAAAGTGAAGCAATTTTTTTTCCTTTTCTTTTTTTTGTGGCTTCCTCAAATCATGGGAGCAAAGCAAATTTTATCCAAGCGCATTTTCTCAAGCACTCAGGTGAGACAATATTCGCATTGAATAAGAATCACAAGCAAGTGGGTATAGACCTTACTGGGCTCTATCTGGATCTCAATGAACAAACTCTCCCAGTCTCTCAAGCTGGGACTCATTCACTCTTTAGCAATTCCCTATCCCTTAACACCCCCCTCCGCTTCCCTAAGCCACCAACATTTGCCTACTCTACCTCATAAAAGTTTAATACCTGCCTCTTATCTTCAACCCATCACTGCCTCATTTCAGACCTTCAGCATTGCTGGAGTTCTGTAGCCTCCACTGATCTCACTGACACCCCCCGGCCCCCGTCTCCATTCCAGAGCTTACCTCCTTACCTCCACACTGCTACCAGTTCGCCCTGCCTGCGCAGCCAACTGAAGGTGGCTCCCACACCAAATAACGACTCCATTCACATCCCTTGACTTATTTATTTTTGTGTAAACTCTTCTTTAGCTACATTTTTTTAAGAGGATTGGATAAGTGAAGGAATGAATACTATTACATGCTAAATTATAATAATCCTTCTTAAAAGTAACTCATGCTTATAAGCTGGTAATAGACACATTTCTTCATTTGCTGCATTTGAGAGTTTACTATGCCTCAGCACCGTGATAGGTGATAGAGAATTAAGATGAATGAAACGTATTCCTTACACCAAGAAGTCTGCAGTCTGGTAAAGAAATACTTACAACACAGAGATGTCAATGTTATTACAGGAAAATACAAGGTACTATTAGAAAAACCAAAGCTACAATAACTAATGAGAAACCAAGGTTAGAGTATCCAAAGAAAAATTTGACCTATAAAAATCATACGGTACACGGAAACACTAGAAACACAAATATTATCAGCAGAGAGAGATTTAACATAATATAAAAATATAAAATTTATGAATGAAAAAAACTAACCTTATAAGTTAAAGAATCAAGTTTGTGATAACATTCTGATATTTCATCAGCATATGACAAGTCAGGACTGACATCCTTTTCCCCTGAAATACCATATTTTGCCTAAAACAGAGTACAGAAACATTTTATTTCTTTATAGTTTAGTTACAAAAATAGCCTTTGGTTAATGAAGACTAAGATTCTGACTTCATCATTTCATGACTCTGCATGTTATATTCTTAAATTATACTGAACCACAAAAAAACAGTTTCAAATGTACACACTAAGAACTAAAATCATATTATTTTGCTACTTCAAGGGCTTTACATTCAAATTCAATACTAGGTAGGTTTGAAATAATTTTAGATTAACAGTGTCAGGAAAATATTCTGCGTAATTGCTAATCATGGATCCATGACCCTCATAGCTCTGTGAAAAACAACAGAGCTAGACTATTTCCATCATGGGACTGAGAAGGTCTTACACACACATGCACGTATTTTTTTTTTTAATACCTGCGATTTTCTCATTGTTCCTGAAGCAGCGTCATAGTTAAGCATGTCTGTGGGGTCAATCCAGTCATCATCATGAGCATAACCAGCTACTAGCAACAGACATTCACAAAGGAGCCAAGAACACAGCATCCTGTATAAGGCAAAAACAATTTTTCTATATATATAACGAAATAGAATTATTTTTTAAATAAATTGGGTTTTGGGTTTTATTATTATTATTATTTTAGAGACAGGGTCTTGCTCCATTGCCCAGGCTGGAGTACAGTGATACAATCACAGCTAACTGCATCCTCCAACTCCCGGGCTCAAGGGATCCTCCTGGCTAGCTGGGACTACAGGTGTGTGCCACCACGCCTGGCTAATTTTTTTTTTAATTTTTAGTAGAAACAGGGTCTGTGTTATCCAGGCTGGTCTCAAACCCCTGGCCTCAAGTGATCCTCCCACCCTGCTAGGATTATAGGCATGAGCCATTGTACCCAGCCAGATTGTTTTGTAATGAAAATACTTCCTTCTAGAGCTAAGATAACACTTTCTGAATAGTAACTAAGGAAGAAGGTACATTAACAATAAATTGGTATTCATATATAAAAAACATGCATGTATGCATAATATGCTCATTGAGATAAGAAAACAGGCATTTTTCCACATGGCCCAGCAATTCCATTCCTAGGTATATACTCAAGAGAAATGAAAATGTATGTCCACACAAAAACTTGTACATGAATGTTTATAGCCACATTTTTCATAACAGCCAAAACGTTTGGGAAAAACCCAAATTTCCATCAACAGGGCCAGGTGTGGTGGCTCACGCCTGTAATCCCAGCACTTTGGGCGGGTGGATTGCTTGAGCTAAGGAGCTCAAGACCAGGCGAGGCAACAACAAAAAAAAACAGAAAATTAGCCAGGTGTGGTAGTGCAAGCCTGTGGTCCCAGCCTCTTGGCAGGCTGAGGTGGGTGGATCACTTGAGCCTGGGAGGCGGAGGTTGCAGTGAGCCAAGATCACACCACTGTACCCCAACCTGGGTGACAGAGTGGGACCCCGTCACAGAAACAACAACAACAACAAACAAATTTCCATCAACTGATAAATAAATGAAACGTGATACAGCCATGCAACAGAATACTATTCAGCCATAAAAAGGGATGAAGTACTGACACCATGCTACAACATAGATGAACCTTGAAAATGTTACGTTATATGAAAGAAACCAGATATGAAAGACCACACATTATATAAGTACATATATATGAAATATCCAGAATAGGCAAAGCTATTAAGACAGAAAGTAGATTAACAGGTGGTTAAGCCTGAAGGTTTGGGAGTATAATAGCTACAGGGTTTCCTTTTAAGGTGATGAAAAATGTTCTAAAATTGTGATAATGGTTGCAAATACATGCAAGTATACCCAAAACCATGCAATTGTATACTTTTTTTTTTTTTTTGGAGACAGGGTCTCCCAGGCTGGAGTGAAGAGGCACAATCCCAGCTTACTGCAGCCTCGCCCTCCCAGACTCAAGTGATCTGCCCACCTCAGCCTCCTGAGTAGCTGGGACTACAAGCCTGCACCACCACACCTGGCTAATTTTTTTTTAATTAATTAACTTTTTTGTAGAGATAAGGTCTCAGTATATTGCCCAGGCTGGTCTCAAACCCCTGGGGTCAAGCTATCCTTCCACCTCAGCCTCCCAAAGTGCTGAGATTACAGGCATGAGCCACTGCGCCTGGTGGAACTGGACACTTTAAATGGTGGATTATATAGTATGATTTATAGTTCAATAAAGTCAATTTAAAAACAGGTATTTTAATGAACCTCCTTGTGTTTTTGGAGTTTTGTTTTGTTTTGTTTTTTTGAGATGGAGTTTCGCTCTTCTTGCCCAGGCTGGAGTGCAATGGCGCAATCTTGGCTCATTGCAACTTCTGCCTCCCAGGTTCAAGCGATTCTCCTGCCTCAGCCTCCTGAGTAGCTGGAATTACAGGCATGCACCACCATGCCCAGCTAATTTTGAATTTTTAGTAGAGATGGGGTTTCTCCATGTTGGTCAGACGAGTCTCAAACTCCCGACCTCAGGTGATCCACATGCCTTGGCCTCCCAAAGTGCTAGGATTACAGGCGTGAGCCACCACACCTGACTCCCTCTGTGTTTTTTTTTCATTTTAACAAATGATAAATAAGAAAAGTGGGAAATTGCCAGGTACGGTGCCTCACGCCTGTAATTCCAGCACTGTGGGAGGCCAGGGTGGGCGGATCACTTGAGGCCAGGAGTTCAAGAGCAGCCTGGCCAACATGGTGAAACCCCATCTCTATTAAAAATACAAAAACTTAGCCAGGCATGGTGGTGTGTACCTGTAATCCCAGCTACTTGGGAGGCTGAGGTGGGAGAATCGCTTAAACCCAGGAGGCAGAGGTTGCAGTGAGCTGAGATCACACCACTGCACTCCAGCCTGGGTGACAGAGTGAGACTCCACCTTAAAAAAAAAAAAAAAAAAGAGAAGTGAGAAATTACAATTCAAATGAAGTGACTAAACTTCAAAACCATTCAGAGAAAATAACCTGCCTTACCTAAGCCCCTGCATAAACAGTCAAATAATTTAAACATTAGTAACTCTTCTATATAGCTATTTAATTAAAATTAAATAAAATTAAAAATTCAGTTCCTCATTCCCCCTAGCTACATTTCAAGCACTCAATAGCCACGTATAGGTAGTCGCTACCATATTGGACAGAGTGGATACAGAACATTTGACCACTTTTATCATCGAAGAAAGTTCTGTTGGGTGGCCTATCTCATACCCACCACATGTAAGAATCAGGCAAGAGAACCCCAAGATGACAAAGCCCTGGGCCCTGTCCATAAACAGCTTACAGTCTAGTTGTACAATAAAAATAACTCCAGGCTAAATTAAATACTCCTGTTTCCCATGTGCCTTGTATATTCTTCTGGCATTGGAAGCAATGAGGTTAGCCATTTATCGGTCTGTCTCTTCCATTAGCTCAATGGCTCTCAACCTTGGCTCCATATTAGAATCACCCAAGGAGCTTCTAAAACTCCCAATGTTTTGGCCATATCCCAAAACAATTAAATCAGAATCTCTGGGATTAGGACCCAGGCACTGGAATTTTTTTAAGCCCCTCCAAGTGATTCTTATGTGTAGCCAAGATAGAAAACCACTGTTAAAGAGTGAACTTCTCTAGGGAAAGGTAATATCTTACCTAACTCTGAAGTCACCTTCCCACTCACATCTCCACCTTGTCCCTCCATCTCCCCAGCCTCAACACCCAGCCCAGTGGTTGGTACGTGAAAGACATTCAGTAAACGTTTGTTAAGCAGCAAATGCAAATAAAGCCATAGCAAGGACTCAAGGATTTTAGAGGTTCAAAGGATAAAGACAGCACATCTGGCCAGGCACAGTGGCTCACGCCTGTGATCCCAGCACTTTGGGAGGCCAAAGCGGATGGATCACCTGAGATGGGGAGTTCGAGACCAGCCTGACCAACAATGGAGAAGCCCCATCTCTACTAAAAATACAAAATTAGCTGGGAGTGGTGGTGCATGCCTGTAATCTCAGCTATTTGGGAGGCTGAAGCAGGAGAATCGCTTGAACCCGGGAGGCGGAAGTTGCAGTGAGCCAAGATCGCGCCATTGCACTCCAGCCTGGGTAACAACAGCAAAACTCCGTCTCAAAAAAAAAAAAAAAAAAAAAAAACAATGCACATCAACTGGAGAAAGTGGAAAGACTGCACAGGAATGAGAATCTGAAGTAGGGGTAACATGTTAAGTGCTCAAGATGGGACAGGCAGAGACAGAGGGCAAAGTGTATGCTTCAGCAATTGCAATTGGGAGGATGGATACAGTGAGAGGTAGAGGTGGGTGGGTGGTGATGACACTGCTGAGGAAAAAAGCTTATGACTAACTTCACCTGCTGTAACTCTCACGAGGGATGGGAGCCAAAGCTGGGAGCAGTAGATCACGCCTATAATCCCAGGACTTTGGGAAGCTGAGGTGGGCAGATCACTTGAGGTCAGGAGTTTGAGACCAACTTGGCCAACATGGTGAAACCCCATCTCTGCTAAAAATACAAAAATTAGCTGGGCGTGGTGGCAGGCACCTATAATCTCAGCTACTCAGAGGCAGGTGAATCGCTTGAGCCTGGAAGGCAGAGGTTGAAGTGACCGGAGATCACGCCACTGCACTCCAGCCTGGGTGACAGAGCAAGACTCCACCTCAAAAAAGAGAGGGATGTGAGCCACACTGCAGGAAGATAAAACTAGCACTAGGCCAGGTGCGGTGTCTCACGCCTGTAATCCCAGCACTTTGGGAGGCCAAGCAGGTGAATCACGAGGTCAGGAGTTCAAGACTAGCCTGGCCAACATGGTGAAACCCTGCCGCTACTAAAACTACCAAAAAAAAAAAAAAATTAGCCAGGCATGGTGGCATGCACCTGTAAATCCCAGCTACTTGGGAGGCTGAGGCAGGAGAATCGCTTGAACCTGGTTGGGGGACAGAGGTTGCAGTGAGCCGAGATTGTGCCACTTCACTCCAGCCTGGGCGAAAGCATAAAACTCAGTCTCTAAAAAAAAAAACAACAACAACAAAAATAAAAAACTAGCACTAAGTGCGAGGAGGAGGAAAACCTGGATTCATTATCCAACAAAGTGGCTGAAGCAGAAGAAAGATGTGGTACTCGGCCTAAAAGAGTGGTGGCAACAAAACCAGGAAGGACACACGTGGCACACTCTGAAGATCAATTCTACAGACCTCGGCCTACCAGCAACAAAAACAGTGATGTTAATTTTAAATAGAAATTCAGAATGAGAATATGGCTGTGGAAGGAGTTCAGCATTAATTTGTTCAACATTTACCAAATACCTACTGTACACTGGGCACTGTGTGTGTGTGTGTCGGAGGTTTGCTCTTCTCACCCAGGCTGGAGTGCAATGGCGCGACCTCCTGGGGGGGGGTGTGTGTGTGTGTATGTGTGAGACAGAGTTTTGCTCTTGTCACCCAGGCTGGAGTGCAATGGCGCGATCTCCTGGGCTGGGCTGTGTGTGTGTGTGTGTGAGACAGAGTTGCGCTCGTCACCCAGGCTGGAGGGCAATGGTGTGATCTTAACTCACTGCAACTTCTGCCTCCTG